TGCCCCCCTCCCTCACTGCAGGGGGGGGATTGATCTGCCCCCCACATGCCACTTACCTCCCCTTCCACCACACCAGACTTACCAACTGGAGGCAGCTGTATCGGAAATCTGATCAGTATTGACTGATATGCCTCCTTAAATATCAACTCTCAGTATCAGCCCCCAACATCTCTATCAGTGCACTCTTAGTTACAATGCTGTAGTACACCAAAAAGACATCTAGATTGAGCTCACTGGCAACCTCTGCCTATGAAGCCCCTCTAGAACTGCTATTGCAAATTAAGTTGTTCTCATCCTCAGCAAAAGTGCCAAGGAATGAGATCTAGTGATAATGCCACCAATCCTCCTTTAATGTGAATCTCCACTTGGGCAAAAGTTTCTCCTCATAATCTCTCTCATCAAATTAGCTCCAAATCTTTTTTTTTTTTTTTTTTTTTTTAAATACAGCTAGCTCTTATCATTCATGAGAACTTTTCAGTTTTCTGAATGCTCTCCACTCAGCCATGTTTCATCTTGTGAGACTACATGATGCTGCTTAACAAGTTCTAACTGCTTTCTATTCAGGACCATCTTTTTAATTCTTACATAGTCAAACTGAACCCAATTTGGTTTTCTGCCCATTCATCTACCCTCTGTAATCTGTGTGTTCACCCACGTCATCATCAGTCCTCTGTCCTTGATGTTGCTCCAGAGTCTCCAAGGTCATCTACACATTTCTAGTACTGAAGATTAATTTAATCATTCAGGAACAGATTCATATCTTTTCATCTTCCCTTAGAGGAAGTTTTCTCCTGTTTAACTGAAAGGGCCAGGGAAATAATATGCAAGTCAATAAATCATGCCAAAAAAGCAATTTTCTTTTTAATCTCAGGAATTTTAGCACTAACTTGCCTTCCTTTATTTTTCTCTTTTTCATGGGAAATTTCTTTTTTCTTACCTTGCTACCAATTGCAACAATAAGATGCTTAGGAAGTTCTGTGCTGTCAAAGCAATATGGGCACTTCTCCATACATGCAGCAAGCTGCTGATGTTCATAGATTGCTTTTCTTCTTTGTCTTGCCTCCTCTTCCCCACTACGCTCTCCCTTAGCTGCTTTGGAAACAAACATGTCATCCAGAGTGTAGTACTCTCTATCAGTTTTTTCACTAAGCTGCAGAAAGACAAGAAAAATATATGTACAAATGGATGGAAGAATTTAGAACATTCTCATATTCTTTACTTTGGGTGTGAACAAATGAATAAATTACAACAGCTTAGAAAGAAGATGTAAGAGTTAGCATACATCAGCTACTCTATAGTACTGTTTTATATGTCTGTTCCCACCCCTTGCTAAGTGAAATTGGGGTAGCAAACCCCTGAATAAAATAGATGATAAAAGATAGTCTCTTACTACACACACACACACACAAACATGCACCTATTTACATACACATAATCTGATTCATTTTAAAAAATGAAAAGCTTTTAAGTCATTAAGCCATAAACTGTAAAAATTAGTTAAATGCCCAGTATATAAAGGGGAAGCTGTCAAAGCACAGGATTTCCTGCAGAGTGATGGCTGAAAGTCTGAAAGTCGGTAATATCCCACAGGATCTTTAACAGGTTTTAGTGCAGTTTCCATAGAAACTTAAATGGATGCCTCAATGTTTTTCAAATAACTTACAGTGCAAATTCCAATAATTTACATGAATTAACCACATATTAGTTCTGATGGCAGTATGTACTACCTCTTTTATATAACCAATTCTATTTAGTTGACAATATATTTACAACATTAAGTAAAAATATTTTGCATCACCTTAAGAATTAACTTACCTGCATATAAACCTTTTTTCTCCTGTAAACAAAAGCTCTGTATACATCTGTTTGCATGTACACATGTGATTTAAACCAAAAGTCTAGGATTTTGCCATTCATATATAATTTATTTCTTAAAATGATGCATTAATCTTCTGTTATTCATGGAACCAGTCTATTTCTTCCTATTTTCCAATGTGCCTTTTGTATCATATATGAATTCTTGTTTTAAAAGTATAATTTTAAAAGTATAATTAAAAGTATAATTTTAAAAGTATAATTAAAAGTATAATTTTAAAAGTATAATTTTATAGACTAGGTAAGCAGCTATTGCAGGTAAAACTGGGTCATAAAAGTACTGGTCTTTACTTTCCTTTTAGGTTCCCTTGAATACTAATCATATTTTTACTCTACATAGTCCAACAGTTCCTGAACAGTATGTTAAGAAAGCACCTCTATTGCTAAATGGTTGGAGCTAAATTAGGGAATTCAAAACTCTTTAAAACCTTACTTCATTTACTAGTTACATATTTGACTTTTTCCACATATTCCCCCATGTACTCCTCCCCACTTCTCAGCACCCTCCCCCCGCCCCACATACACATCTGCAAAACAAAAATGAGCTCTAAAAATTTTAACTCTGTTCTTGCTGCATTTTATTACAGTTCCACAGACCTACATTAATTAAAAGGGAAGAAGATTCTTAGGACTTGAAAATTATTATTATTTTGTTTGGGTTTTTTTAGGAAAAATTGTTTTTCCATGTCAAAAGTTGGTTTCACTGCTTTTGTCATGACCAGAAAAGGGCACAAAGGAAACAAAATTTTCCAAGGGGAAAAAATATTATCTGATTCCCTATCTCCCATGCACTCATTTTCCATTGCATTTTGCAAAAAACAAAAGAAGCAAAGAGCTTACTTTTTCAATAAGAAAGACTGAATCTGGATTCTGCCTGCCTGAAACAAAAGCTGGAAATAAATTTCTATTTGGGCAGTAAAGCAACAAAGCCAAAAGACTGCGCACACAAGGGTCACAGGCCACATGAAAGCAAGTTCAGCACTGTTCTCTTTAATTATTGCCTACAACTGACAAAAAATGGGAGTGGGAAAAAAGCGATCAAAGGGCAAACACAAAAAAATGTGGAAGATGAGGAGAAAACTTGGCTGACTCTAGAAGGATAGTCTGTGTGTGATAAAGGAGAACTACTGGTTGTTAAAAAGTGCAACACCTTCAAGAGAAAGTTCCTCCAGAAGCTACTATGCTAGGGGCACTGTTGAATATTCTAGGTTATACTCCCAGCACATTATGGGTGATTGACAGGGAAGATGTAACACCAGTAGACTCAACCTTACAACACTCAGGATTTCCTCATACCAGAGGAACTCTTAGCTGCTCACCTACGAGTTTTAAGGCTTCTTCAGTGTTAGTGCAAAAATACAAAAGACATCACGTGAAGCTAGAACAACTATTTGAAACATATGTGACTATTCCATTGAGCTGAAGAATTACCAAACCTTCTTACAACAGAGAACAATATGAACATTGTTTTCAAGCATCTGCCAAGAAATGAGTCCTCCCTGCTTTATGCTATTATGTTGCTTCCATAATTCTTTGTTTGCTTGGGTTTCCTGATTTTTATTGAATCATATAATTCAAATGTTATGTGTATTTCTTATGTTGTGATAAGCATGTTAAAGCATTAGTGTGAAGCAATAAATGAAAAGAGCCCAGATGTTCAACCAAAGCTTGGTCAAATTCCATAGCTACCTAAATCCTAGATAAATTTGAATTGAAGATGATCCCCCCAAAATCAGATTCAATACATGGAAAATTATAAATTTCTTATAATTTTCCAAGTAAATCATCTAATTATTGGAGGGCCATCTTACATTTGTCTTCCCTCTGCCCATTCCTGTGGCAGGGAAAGCAACAGTTGGGGGGCAAGTGGTGGGGAGGCAAGTGGCAGCCTGACCCCAGACCCTTCCCTCCTGTACCTTACCCCCATGCCATTTGCTCCCCCTCACGGGTCACTTCCCCACTCCATGGCTCCCTCCCCCATACTTTGCCTCACCCCCTGTACCTTCACCCTCTGAAGAACAACTAAATACCCTTTACAGGCACTGGAAAACCAGAATTATCTGACCAAAGTGAAATCTTCCATAAACTTAAGGTTTATAGAACTTACCCTGTAAAAGCCAAGTACGCTCAACATTGAATTCTTACCTAACTGGAAGTCATTTTGATAAGCATTAGAATAGGCTACTCAGAGAGACTGAGGTATCTCCATTCTTGGAAATGTTTATGTGCCGGTTACACATTTGTCTAGGGTGGTTTAAACAGGGATGATTCTGCCTTGAGCATCAGACTGGACTAGATGACCTTCTGAGTAGGCTTCCAATTCTACTTTTCTATTATTCTACATATTTAAGAAAAACCTTAAACAGACAAGATTCTTTGGGTAAATCTGATATCTTTTATTAGACCAACTCAAATAGTCCTTAGACCAACACAGCTACAACCTACACCCAAGAAACCTTAAAAACATTTATTTGAATTAAAATCTAAAACAATAACTCACTGCAGGGACAAGATTAAATTACACAGTTCTAATTGAAAGCTATTACACAGACTACTTTTGTTTCTGTAGATAGAATTAAAGTTCACAGAAACAGGAATAAAACAAATTATGAAATACAAAGCTAAGAGCTAGGTGAATTAGGAAACTGGTATCAAGTTATCAATAGACAGGGCTAAGATAAATTTATAGCTTTTTAACTCTAGCTCACTTGTTCAAATCTACGCCAAGATACAAATGCCTTCATCTGACAGCTGTTAATTTTGTTTATAAATCTCAATCCAGCTGCCAGTGGACAGCAAGCACAGATGAAATATACACTTACACCTACAACAACCAAAACTGACAATATGGTGGCAGTTTCAGAAAATAGATCAAGGTTTAACAGGAATAAAAACTTGAACCACCTACTCAATGTTAGAGGCAAGCCTCCCAAAATGGTAGAGGCATATTGTTGGAAAACTGTAAAACTATACAGATTCTGAAATACTCACATGCATTCCGTTCAAAGGCAAGTAAACTTTCACAAGTCTCTTGCATCATCACTGATTTAAACAAAGACTGAAAACTTTATCAACAGCTACCATAGGTAAAAATTAACACAGGCAATATACAGGAACTCAAAGCAAACAAACACTGAGATTGGATAACAATAGGAGCAATAATTTCAGAAGTGAAATGGCTTCACAAGCCTGAAAGATGATTTCTATTGCTGGGTAGCAAAATAAATGCCAGGCGAGGGCAGATATCTCACGCCATCAATTATTTTTAGCATACTGATTTTAATTACAAGTATTAGAGTTAAGAATTAACTTGCCTTGATTTCTCTCCCCAGCACCATGAGTATAGCAGGAACAATAAGTGCAGGAAGGACAAGCGCAAAGAGACTACTGTGACAGGCCACCAGATTCTAGAATCCTACCAGGAGATTTAAAGCTACTCTGCTCATGTATCCTGGCAGCCAGACCAGGCGAATGTCAATAGCTCCAGTACAGGAGACAGAAGCTAGAGATCCAAATGATCAATACAGAAGGCTTTTCAAGACAGTAATTTAAAATAGTCACCTGAAAAGGAAGCTTAGGCAAATGCTCACATCTACCATTTGAAGAACAGAAGAAAGAAAATCCCAAGGGGGGATGTTTAGAATCTAAAACAAGTAGTATGCAGTGTGTAAAGACTGGAATGGGGACTATCCAACTATCCACACTGTCCTCAGTACAAACTAGAGCACAATATAAATATAGCAAAGAGATAAGGAAGACAACTATTGGCCCTTAACAATCCAGAAAACAAGACAGGTGTTTTTTCAATACTGCTAGCATAAAAATGCAATTTTTACCCTTTCGAAATATTTACTGATTCCCTCTTTGTCTCCCTTTCCCAGGAGACAAGGGACTAGGCAGGATAGAATCATTAATATTTTAAAGGACTTTTCATATTGTAGGACCTTCCCTTCCAGACATATAGTTCTTCCAGACAGACCATCAATGTGACAGCTAGAATATTACTCAGATCACCAGGCTTTCAGTGTTACACCTTAACTACTACCTTTCTTTAGGTATTTATTTTAATGAAGGCACAGTAGAACACTGAAATGTTTTTTCTTTTCTTCAATGCTAGCTCCACCACCCTGAATTTCCAACTATCCACTAGAGTCTTAACAATTAAACTTTGGAGACCCTCCCTTCCCTCCCCTGGACCAGACCAAGAAAAATGATACAGATTTGATGATAAGTAAAAGCAATTAACGCATTATCATACCTGATAGACTCTGGAGA